ATTAATACCACATGTTCCCTCGAATTCAATGAAACATGTAAAGGGCCAATTAAAGGTATAAAATTTTTAATAATATTGTTAGCATTTTGACTCCTTATCTTAGTTATTGCCTTCCTAATAAATAGCTGACCAGGCCAATCTGCTGAAACAGGTATTATATTATTTATTAAATATCTAGAAATACTTTCTATTTTGCTTATTGACATTAAAACATTTACATAATCATCTAATGAATGTAGATTGCTCTCTTGGAATTGAAATAACCTTGTTCCTATCATAGATCTATCCTGTTGTCTTTCGACAATTAAGGGATTGTAGAAATGAATAGTAAGTGATTCTGTTCTATTGTAGTGGTTGTATCCACCAAATGATATTCATTGATTATTCACTGATTATCTGGTTAATCAGGTGTTGAAAATTTTTCATTGATTAGGGTGCTGACATATATTAGCTAATATCATTTTAATAATAGCGCTTACTCCCCCACCCCCAGGTAAGACATTTTGATCACGTTTATGACAATAATTTGCCTTTTTAGGTATCAACAAAGCACAAGCAGAAAAAGAATTAATTTTATTAAATATTTTAAAAGCAACATTGGAGTAAATAAATTTTCCTTTATAATATATTATGATCTTTTGGAATTTCTGGGTATGATTTGTATTGGCTATTTCTTGACAAAACAACTGTTAGATTAAAACGTGTACTGATCGTGGATCCAGTTGAAAATTCACGTATTTCATTGGTGAAATTGATTAGTGAAAGCGTTGAAAGAATAGATGCATTTGAATGTAGTCAGAAAGGTACTATTGCTGTGAAAGAGTGGCAAGAAAAAAATAAAGATCTGTTATACGATATAGTATTTTTCAATGTTAGAGATGAAAATATTGAAGAGGTCAAACAGTCTTCTAGAGAGTTGCGGAGAGTCTGTGGTGACAATTTATGTATAATACTGATGGTGTTTTGGTCTGTTAATGGTAGGTTATTGGGTCAGAAGATGGTCAAAGAAATAAGAGGTCATGTTGCTGCTTTGTGTAAGCCTATTATGCAAAAAAGATTGTTGGACTGTCTACATAACACTGAAATATTCAAATCAAAATCCCCTTCACCTCCATACACAAATAATAATGATGACATTAATAATGGTGATTATGATTGTCACAATAATCATTATCACTATCATAGTATTAGAAATTTCAACCCAATGAAACCTTTGAGTGATCTGAAAGTTGAAAAATATTATCATCATAACAGACCAACCAAAACCATTACTTCTGGTATAGAAGCTGATTCAACATCAATAATAACAAATTATGATAATGATGCAATGCTAATTGATAAAAAATCTAATTTTGACGATTTTGAAAAATCAGGCAATAACCCAGAGTTTAATTGTAGTATGAAATCCGAAAAATTTAATTCAAAATTAAAGCGTTCAGTTGACAGCGAATCCATCTATTCGTTAAATAATGAACGTTCATCAAAATCAAGAAATAGACCTACTTCAAAATCCAAATGTGTTTTATGTGTGGTATGTTTAAATTTCCTTGTTTAAAAAAAAAAAATTTTTTTTGATGCTGATATGACAATCAATTAATTGAAAAATATGTCCATGAAATTACAGGAAGATAACCCTATCAATCTAAAGGTATATGTGTAAATATACATAACAGTGTTAATGATATTTCTTAAATGCCACACATATTTATTGTATTTATATATATACAGGTTATTCAACATCAACTAACAAAATTAGGATATCAATCTTTATCAGCAACAAATGGCCAAGAAGCAGTTAATTTAATGAAATCAGAATGCATGGATTCACCTGATGATAACATATATGATGGGGAATCAGCTGGGCTTTCATCTGATTCTGATTCTAATTATAACAAAATATCATTGATTTTAATGGATTGTGCAATGGTAATTAACTGTTTTTATTTTGGAAGAAATATTAGAAATTATATAAATATTAATTAACCAATTAATTATATATGTATGTATATTAAATAGCCTGTTATGTCTGGGTTTGATGCATCAAAAGCTATTAGAGCAATGGAACCACCAATATCACAAATACCAATTATAGCATTAACAGCATCAGCAGTACAAGGCACAAGAGATAGATGTCTTGAAGCTGGCATGAATGATTATCTTACTAAACCATTGAAAATTGGACAACTTAAAGAAATGTTGACTCAATGGCTTGGGGAAGATTAATTATGATCATTTATATCTACATATTATATTTTAAATTTATGTATTTATGTATAATTTGTAAATTATTTTTAATGTGTGAATATGATTTTTTCATTTTAGAATATATACTACACTGATTTTAATAATCCTTTATATGCTATGCAACTTCTTCCTGAATCTTTTCTAACAAAAAAAATTCTCACATTTCTAAGATTTTATTAAGGTTGATTTTTATTGTTTTTTAATTCAATATGCAAATAATTATATATATACATATGGTTAACACGAAATTAATTGTCAACACATGGAATTATAAATCTTTTTGCCAATAAATATCTTGTTAATTGTCATAACCATGTATCCAGAAATTTCACAAAACTTATTAAATTTTGTCTTCATAATATACCTGAAATTCATAATAAAATGAAAACAATAATTTGATATACAATCCACTGGTGTCCAAATGTGGTAATCTTATCTCAATATTGATAAATAATGTTAGTGAATATAATTAGTCTAACAAGATTTTAGCAGAGGATGCGCAGTGAGCTTTTTTGAACTTTATTAGTAATATTTGTGTAATACAAAAAAAAATCTGAGATTCTCATATTTAATATATATATTAATTAATTAATTGGCCAAGACCTCTTTGGTTTACATTTTTCAATCTTGCATACTCCTGAATTACAGATTGATCAGTTTTTATATTAGAAAAGTCAAAATCTAAGATTCTAAGTGAATCCCAAGAAGGCACTCTGCTCATGGCTACATATACTTGACCAGGTGCGAACATATTTTCATCGATGCTGACAGTTGCATGAGGTAATGTTAATCCCTGGGTTTTGTGCACAGTAAGAGCGAAGGCATTTTGCAGAGGAAATTGTTGTCTTGATGCAGGGCTTTCATTGATATCAAAGTAATATTTTAGTGTATAACAATCAATTCGATTGTTGATTTAAATTAAATTCTAATTAAAAATTGTCAAAAATAAATTTCTTTCTTTACGTTAAAGGTAATTTGTAGCATTTTCTCTCATAATATTTTAATTTATATTAAAATGGTATAGAAAATTTAAATTTAAGTTTTTAAGGACCAATCAAATTTCTTTATTTATGAAAAAGTCAAAATCTGATTGGTTGAAATGAATTATATCGTTAACATCTACAGGGTGTTAAGAAAAAAACGGCGGTTGGTAAAAATATTGTTTTTAATAAAAAGTAGCCAAAATTATATGATGAAAATTATAACAGAGAATCGGAGGATCTTAGATTATAACATATGAAATTTTT